GGATAGTTTGTTGTCTAGAACAGAAGCTTCTTTCAAATCCATGGTGAAGGCATTGCATGATCAAGGAGAGGGCTATTTCGTGAGCTCAGATGTAAATAAAAAAACAAAAGGAGACTGGTGGGAAGGCTTAGAAAATTTGATCAAGGAATTTCAAGATCTTTTTCAGGCTACAGGGTCACTGCCTCCGAAACGTGCGTGCGATCATGCCATCACTTTGCAACCAGGAAGCCAAGTGCCAAACCTCAGGCCATTCAGGTATCCCTATTACCAAAAAACTGAAATTGAGAAGTTAGTTGCTGAGTTATTGTCTTTTGGCTGGATACGTCACAGTCATAGTCCCTATTCCAGTCCCGTGATTTTGGTAAGGAAGAAGGATGGTAGTTGGCGGGTTTGTGTCGACTACAGAGTCCTCAACAAATTCACCGTGCCAGACAAATTCCCAATTCCAGTGGTGGAAGAGTTATTGGATGAGTTAGGTGGCTCACAAATTTTTTCTAAGTTAGATCTCAAGTCCGGTTATCACCAGATACGAATGAGGGAGGAAGATATACCAAAGATTGCTTTCCGCACACATGAGGGGCATTACGAATACCTCGTCATGCCATTTGGGCTGACTAATGCCCCTTCCACTTTTCAAGCCCTCATGAATGAGATCTTGAGAGGGTTTTTACGAAAATTTGTGCTGGTATTTTTAGATGATATACTGATCTACAGTAAGAGCAAGGAGGAACATGAGTTGCATCTACGGGAGGTCTTTGTCGTATTGAGACAGAATCAGTTGATTGTGAACAAAAAAAAATGTTGTTTTGGTAGCACACACGTGGAGTACTTAGGACACATCATAGCAGCTGATGGCATTAGAGCTGACCCAGGTAAACTCCAAGCTATGGTGGATTGGCCAGGTCCCAAGAATATCAAGGGGTTACGGGGTTTCTTGGGATTGACAGGCTATTATAGACGGTTTGTCAAGGACTACGGCATGCTGGCCAAACCGTTGACTAATCTGTTGAAAAAGGATTGCTTTAAATGGGACGCTGAGACTGAAGAGGTGTTCAATTTGCTGAAACAGAAAATGTGCTCTGTTCCAGTCTTAGCTCTACCAGATTTTCAGAAACCTTTTATGGTTTGTACAGATGCTTCGAGAAGAGGAGTGGGGGCTGTCTTGATGCAAGACAACCAGCCTCTATCCTATATCAGCCAGGGATTTTCTCAAAGAGCCATGAACAAATCTGTGTACGAGAAGGAGTTAATGGCTATTGTGTTCGCCGTTCAGAAGTGGAAGCATTACCTCATGGGCAGACGTTTCATTGTAAAGACCGATCAAAAAAGCTTGAAGCATTTACTTGACCAAAGGGCACTAGGCGAAGATCAGCAAAAGTGGCTGTGTAAGTTAATTGGGTTTGATTTTGAAATTTTATATCAACCCGGTAAGGAGAATCTTGTAGCCGATGCCCTCTCTCGTCAGATGCAATTTGCTAGTTTGTCACAATTGCAATGGCCCGATTTGGAGCTTTTGGATCAGGAGGTTCAGCATGATGACAAGCTACGGTCCTTGATCCAAGACTTAATGTTGCAACCGGATACCCATGAAGGTTTTAAACTATTAGGGGGGCGTTTATTCTATAAGGACAGGTTGGTGCTCCCTAGCACGTCCAGCTTTATCTCCCCACTTCTTGAGGAGTTCCATAACTCAGGGATAGGAGGCCATTCCGGGTTCGTTCGCACTTACAAACGTTTGGCTGGTTTGGTTTATTGGGAGGGTATGCGGAAATGCATCAAGGATTTTGTGGCAGCTTGTGTCATCTGTCACCAAAGCAAATCCCAGAATTTATCACCCGCAGGCTTGTTGCAACCGTTACCTATTCCTAGCAAGGTATGGGCAGATATCTCTATGGATTTCATAGGAGGGTTACCTAAGGCTTTGGGGGTAGACACCATCTTTGCGGTGGTGGACCGGTTCTCTAAATATGCCCATTTTCTAACACTGGCCCACCCTTATTCAGCAAAGGAAGTAGCAGCTGTTTTCATCAATGAAGTGGTAAGATTGCATGGTTTTCCTCTCACAATTGTTTCTGACCGAGACAGGTTATTTATGAGCTCTTTCTGGTCTGAGATTTTTAAATGTGCTGGCACAAAATTACATTACACCACAGCCCATCATCCCCAAGCAAATGGACAAACAAAGGTGGTCAATAGGTGCCTTGAGGTTTACTTAAGGTGTATATGTGGTCCCAAGCCTAGACAATGGCCCAAATGGATCGCTTGGGCTGAATATTGGTATAACACCACCTATAAGGATTCTACGGGGTTAACTCCTTTCAAGGTTCTGTATGGTACGGATCCCCTTTCTTTACTCAAAGCTCACCAGTTTGTGTCTCCTATTGATGAGGTCTCTCAGGCGTTGGTTGAGAGGGATAATATGTTACAAGAGTTGAAGCAAAATCTTGCCAGGGCCCAAAACCGGATGGTGAAGCAAGCAAATAAAAAAAGACGCAATTTGCAATTTGCAGAAGGAGATCTAGTGTATTTGAAGCTGCAACCGTACCGGTTAAAATCTCTTGCTAAGAGGTTGAACGAAAAACTGAGTCCTAGGTTCTATGGTACTTTTAAGGTCATCCAACGCATTGGGGAGGTGGCATACAAGTTGCAGCTGCCTGCTGATTGCCGGGTCCATCCTGTGTTTCATGTTTCTTTGCTAAAACCCGCGGCTTTTGCTGTACCAAATGCCCAACAGCTGCCTAAGTGCTTGTCAGAGGAGTGGGAATTAAAGGTCGAGCCTGCTGATGTGGTGCAATGGAGACGTTCCCAGAATAATACGCTGGAGGTGTTGATTAAATGGCATAATCTCCCAGATTTCGAAAACACTTGGGAAGACTTTTCTGTGATCAAACGTCAATTCCCTCAGTTCCACCTTGAGGACAAGGTGCTTAATTTGGGAGGGAGTATTGATACATTTCCTCTACAGGTTTATCAAAGGAACAAGCATAGGAAGGTTTGGGGCCTCAACAAGCAGAACAGCCCAATGGATAATCTGAATAGCCCAATGGGAGACATGCTGAGTGGCAAGTCAGTGGCAGATGTGAGCCATGCTGTCCACTATGCCCATACTGCCCTCCAACAGACTACCAACGTGGAAGGGGATGGGAGAGAGAGTTAGTTACGCGGAGAAGGATAAAAGATGAGGAGAGAGGAGAGACAAGGCAGCTGGAGTATTGGTTACCTTGGGTCCCTTGTGGGAATTGGGAGAGAGTGAAGCCTCTCAATGTGCTTCACACTATCTGTTATTATTTCTTGCTTGTGTGATTGCTGAGACTAGTTATTTTGTCATTACGTTCTGTATTTTTCTGAAGTATTGTAAGACTGGAATGGTTTGATTGATGAACAATTCGTACAATTGATTCATGTAATGCAATTTTGGTTCTGTTTCAAATCCATTATCTCTGTTTATATTACAAACCTAACAGAATCACTCAATAGGAAAGGATAGGATAGGGTAAAAACTGTCCACCCAATAAGCATTTATAGTATCATGTTTTTTGTTGATTGCTGAATAAAATTGAATCAGAATTTTTTTTGATTAGTTGGACAAATGAAGGGGAGCTTGGTACAACAGTTAGTGTTGTCGCCATGTAACCTAAAGGTCACAGGTTTGATCCATCTATTCAGACTCTGGCAAAAAAATGCTAAGTAACGCTGCCTACTATTCCAGAGCAGGAGCTTTATAGCACCATGTTGCCCTTTTTTTAAGTTGGACTTGGACACAATACCCTTATATATCAAAATACTACTAAATTTAATGTAAATTAATTTGTGTTCTTTCTATTGTTAGAGATATATAAAATCATTAATGTAACCTCACCCAACAATTTAAGCTTTTGGGTTCAATTGGTTCTTTACATGGTATCAAAGCCTTGATGTCACGGATTCGATCATCACTGCCCCCGTTTAATTAATAATTAATTCAATATTGTGGAGTTTCTTAGCACAAGTAGGTGGGCTTGTACATTGTCCACCTTTCAAGCCCAATGAGCTCTCATGTGAAGGGGAGTGTTAGAAATATATAAAACCATTAATGTAGCCTCACCCAACAGCTTAAGATTTTGGGTTGAATTGGTTCTTTACATTTATTATAACACAAAATAATTGCACAGATGTGGGAGAATAACCCTGAGAATAAACTTCAACCATAGAACTAGAGAGATGAGAGGAAGGAAATTTGAGATACAAATTAAGAAATCAGGGAAAGGGCAGAAGGAAGGAAAGAGTAGTCTTTTTCTCTTGGGATCAAAAGAAATCACAATGGAGGAGACTGCTAACCACTGACATTCTTAAATACAGTTGTGTCTTTCTGGAAAATTCAGAGAAGATTATAGTTTAAGTTGGTCGAAATCTTGAACATAAAAAATTTGGAAAATTTGCAGACCCATTGAAATTTCCATAATATGCATGAATACATCATCAGAGGCATAAATGCATGACAGAAGTCAGAAATTGCCTGTTTTCTCTAAAAAGTTCCTGAACTTTGTGACAGCTGTGTTATTTAATGGGGAATGGCAGCTTATGGTTACAACAAAGGTGAGAGTCCTAAAGCAGAAAAAAAAAAGTGGAACAAGGATTATAGCAGGGGGTGCCCATAATCACCTGATGAGAGTAAATCACCAGATTGTGTTCTGCTATCTGTTCTGAACTCCAAACACTAGATAAAGCTGGACAATATTAGTTATCCTATCCTATCAGGCCTTATCTGGTGTACAAACAAGGCTTAAAGGTCTAGCTAAGCTGTAACTGGCCAGTCAGACCCTAACATATATAACTTCTATTTCTATATCATTAGAGCAGCGCTCATACTTCACGCAACATTACCCTTAAATTCTTCACACAACATTTTAACAAGAATATTAGGAATAAGTTAACATGCACAATAAAGTACTCCTATTCCTATTTTGTCATAATGAAAGCTAATAAAACTACAACAGTAAACTCAAAAGTAAACAAAACAATTACCTTAGTTCATCAGTATGCTCCAGTTTCCGACTTCCTTCAATTACAGAGCTCTTGCCTGGTGTTTCATACAGGAGACTAATATCCTCAGGGACAACCAGATTTTTCTTCTGGACTGATGCTACCACAACCTGGCACATTCTTGTAATAGGGCTTCCCCCTGGTTTTTGAAACCTGTAGAGGGGTGTGCCTAAAAAGAAGCTTCCAATAGCTAATCCCATAAATATAGCAGGAATGCCGAATCCAAGACCCCAGCCTGCATTGTCTTGAATCCACACTATAAAACTGCTTGATACAAGGGCTCCTATGTTGATAGAAAAGTAAAACCAGTTGAAAAAAGATCCCTTCTTAATCCTTTCCTGGGGATCGGTATCATCAAACTGATCTGCCCCAAAAGATGACACACATGGTTTTATGCCACCAGTCCCAAGTGCAATCAAGTAGAGACCAAAGAAGAACACAGCATATTGTGCATGAGTAGCTGAAGGGCATACAGAATCAAAACACTCAGCAGGCTTCAGTCCTGGAACAGATGCAGAAAGCGTCAATGTACACATCCCCTGCACAAAACAGCCATGTTATATATTAAAACATGTAAAGACAATTGAACAACAAATCATATAGAAGCAAAGGATGCACAGAAAACAAAATGATGACAAAGAATACCATGCTGATATAAACACCAAGTGTTCCTAATATTAACCCTAAAACTTTTCAAACGTGAGAATGCATTTGAGAATTATATCTGGTGCTTAAGTTGAATCCTTAATTCCATTTTTCTAGTAAGAGATTTCCTTTCTTCTAGGATAAGAAACTTAAATTTGGAGTAGAAGCAGTGCAATGGAAGGAAGAAGTTTGGATCATAGTAAATCAAAACTGTTCTTCTGATTCTCCCTTTCCCAAATTTCTTTGACAGCATAATATTTGCTTTCCTTCCATACCTTCATCATTGTATAATCGTTTACTACAACATGCATAAAAGAATTCATATTCCTCATAAACAAGACCTAGAAACAGTCCCAATAACATTCTATAATCATTACAAGTTACATTGCGCAAAAAAAAGTATAATGAATATTCTTTGACTGTGCCCACAAATCTTATGCAAATATGAAACCTTGGCATACTCCAAGTATGTATTTTGTGTCAGCTCTCTACGAAATTGTATAGGACATTTCCAGCTGTATATCAAGAGGTAGATGTGTGTGAAAAATTATTTGACTAGGAGAATACAGCTATCTTAGTTTGTAATTACAATGAAATATATCGTGGAGAAAACAGCAATTGTCCAGTATCGTCCCAAGTAAGAATCTGCTACAACAGCTCCAATGAGAGGTGTAAGATAACAAGTGCCTTGCCAAGTGGTGACATTTCTTGCAGCAGAGACATTTCCTTCGTGTAGTTTGCGGGTAAGATAGGTAACAAGGTTTGTTGCAATGCCATAGTATGCCAAACGTTCGCAACACTCATCGCCTGAGATTCAAATTACATAGAAATGAGATCAACAAAAAAAATTATGATGCATAAGAGAAATGAAAAAGCTTACCTAGGATAAATGGGCAAGCTCTCCAATTGCCAGTATTCTGCTTAAGAACAGGCCTCCCTTTAAAGTCAACTGAACCATCTCCTGTGTATTGTCTGCTCTCTCCATCCTTCAGATGTAATATATTCAATTGTTAATTATAGAGCAAAATACCACTTCTTCCCAAAGGTTCAAATAGAGAAGAGTCAACAAAGGCACTGACTATATGAAACATTTCCGTTTTCCACAATTTTAATCTCGAAGATTAACATTTGATGTTTAGCTATCGAGGGTATAGGAAAAGGGAAAAACAGGGAAAAATTTTATTTATTCTGCAAAGCCAAATCTGATGTCGACCAAAAACATCAGCCCAAAGCATACACAAAATCCCAAATTACAAATTGTGAGAACCTGGGTCAGGTCAAACTGTTCTTACAAGCTCGCTGATTCAATTTAGAAATTTAATATAAAAAAAAAGGTAGAACTTGACATGGGTAATCAAAAACTAATAATCATACACCAGTTTATGGAGAAAGATGGAGAGAAAGGGGAACCTGAAGAAGAGGAGCCTCTTCCACAAGCGATGAATCATTCTCCACAGAACCCATATCTTTGTTTAGAAGCCTCTCTCTTCCCTTCGAATTTGAGAGAGTGAGAGAGAGAGATGTTGCAATTTATGGATAATTAAAAAAGATATATCCTCGGAATGCTCAATAAACGCCGCAACTGTTTTATTGTTGCTTGCAAAATGAACCAAAAAGCATGATGTGTGTGTCAGTTAAGATGATAGATAGACGCAACTTGGTAGAATATAAAAGGTCAGAGTGAGAAACCCGAGATACGAAGCAAGCCCAGTTCTGAATCTTCAACTTTATCTCTAATTATTTTCCCCCCTATAACATCGCTGTTGAAAAACAAACTTTCATAACCAATGCGCATCACAACCATTTTATTTTTTAGTACTTTTTTTGAAAAAAATAATTTTTTTTTGTTTTTGTGTTTTAGTTTATGAGGAAAAAATATGTTTGATAACATATTTTATTTTTATTTTGAGAATGAAAATTGAGTTTGATAACACAATAAATAATATAATAAAAAATAATTCTTATTAAATATAAAAAAATTTGAATCATTACTCTCCTTTTCATATGGTGTGGTTGTGGTGGTGATGTTGACGGCGGGTGGCATGGTGGTGGTGGCGGCGACGGTACGGTAGTGGTGGTGGCAGTAACATGGTGAAGAAAGTGGTGGTGGTTGTCACGACAATGACTGCGACGATGACGGTGGTGATGGTGGTAGAGGCGATGGTAGTGGTGGAGGTAACGGTAGTGACTGCGACAATGATGGTGAATCTGGTGGTTGGTGGCGGCAACAATGGTAGCAGTGACATGTGGTGGTTGTGAAGGCATCATGGTGGTGGTTGTGACAGTGACGATGGCGGTGGGGATGGTGGCCATGGTGATGGTAGTGGTGGCGATGGCGTGGTGATGGTAGTGGCAATGGTGGCGATGGTAGTGGTGGTGGTGACAGTAATGGCTGTGACGATGGTGGTGGTGGTTGGTGGCGGCAGCGACGGCGGTGGTGGTGACGGTAGTGGCTGCGGCAATGGTAGTGGTGGCATCGTGGTGGTGGTAGTGGTGGTGATAGGGGTGGCAATGGCCTGTGATGGCGATGGTGGCAGTGACAACAGTGGTTGCGATGATAGTGGTGGTTGATGGCGGTAGTGGTGACGATTACGGTGGTGGTGATAATGGTGGTGGTGGTGGAGGCGGCAGTGGTATTTTTTGTGGTGGTGACGGTGGCATAGTTGTAGTGATGGGTGGAGGTGGCGGTAATGGTGGCGGTGAGGGGTGGTGACAACGGCACTAATGGTACGATGGTGGCGGGTGTCGGGATGATGGTGGTGATGGTAGAGGTGGAAAGTGATGGAGAGAGATAAGTGTTTCTCATTTTGTGTCTGGAAACAAAAAAAACAGAAATTTTCTGATTCTTTTTTTCTGTTCCCCAGCACAAAAATTAAACTGGTTCATCCCGAGAATAAAAAAATAAATCAATTTTACCAAACGAGTTTCCTATCCATTTATGTTCCCGGAAACAGAAATTAAAAAAAAAAAAAATTCTGAAAAGGTTGTTATGTACCCTCATAGCCTAATACAATAATTAAAGGGTAAATTACATGGAACCACCCTCTACTTTGGGTCATTTTCAAAAAACCACCCTATATTTTCAATTTAAGCAATTAACTCCCTTCCACTATCAAATTATAACAATTAAATATATTTAATAAATTTATGACAAAAATATCCTTATAACCTTCCCAACGCCAACCACATGGTTTAACCACCATTCCTTGCTCTACCTACTGTCTCGCCAAGAAAGAAAAAAAATGAACTTTCTTGTTACCCAAACCAAATCCTTGTCCTCTAGATGACCACGATCACCTTTTTGACTTTTTCACTTCGATTTAAGGGTGCGTTTGTATTAACTTTTTAAAAAGTCTTTTTTATAACTTCTTGATTTTAAGGGTCCGTTTGGATGAGCTTTTTTTTCTCCAAAAATTACTTTTTTTTTTTAAAAAAAGCACTTCTCATTTTTATACTTACAGTAGTCGCCAGAATCAGATTATTTATTTCTGCTGCTTAAATTTGGTTTTGTTCCATATAAATATTCACTTTTTAGTATTTGTCTCTTTAAATTTCATTTTTGGTTTGTTATGTTGTTTTAAATTGGTTAACTGCTGATATAACTAATGGTCAATGCCATGTGTCATGATTATATGACGTAATGAGTTTGGGTGCCAAGTGAAATTATGATGGTTTAGTGATTAATTTAGAAGTAGAAAGTTATTTGCCTCAAATTAAATTCCAAATTCTAGATCTCCCAAAAGGTAAATGATAGTAAAGGGTGGTTATAGTTGTGCCCAGTTCATGACTAGTGGTGCACGTAAAGGGTGAATTTCCTTGTCTATGTGATTTAAAGATTTTTTTTTTATTTCATTTTTTAAAAGTTTAATTGCTAGTTGTTTGACGCAAGATTCAAATGAGTAGTTTTTTTTTTCTATTTTTAAATTACTTTGTTTTAATATTGAATATTGTAGAGTTACTTTTTCACTAATAATTCATCATAGGGGAGCATTTATAAAATCTTATCTATAAAGCGGGAGATATCCATGCTTTTTCGTAGATTGGACATTGGCACATGGTCAAATTTTGAAGCAATGTCATCATTAAGGAGCTAGGGTACGAGGACAGTGTTAAATTATGGTGGAAGTTAATGGATCAAGCTTTGGAGATGGATCAAAATCCATTTCTTAGGACAGTCATGCCATATTGCCATGGAAAAGGCTAATTATGCTATAGAAAATTGGTGTGAAGTTGATATGTATGTAGACATGACTCGGTTACCTTCCCAAAAGTAGTGGAGGAAATTGTTGTAGTACCAACAATAGTTCAAGAACCTAATATAGAACCTGAACATTCGGAGAATGATCCTAGTAAGGATGAAGAAATTGGTGAGGAACAAGTGGAGAATGTTGTCAAGGAAGCAATACTGGCAAGATACAAATGGAGAGGCCTGAACTAACACTACAGCCGAGGTTGGAAGCTTCTTTATGTGCTTGGAGGGATACAAGATAGAGTTCATTACAGCATGCTGGGCATTCATGGGGTTGATGGGTGTCATCTAAAGGTCAAATATGGTGGACAACTATGGGTGGCAGTAGGTAGAGATTCTAATGACCAATATTTCCCACTTGCATTTGCTTCTGTTGAGATTGAGACAAAAGAATCTTGGAGAAGGTTTCTCACCTTGCTCTTGGAATACATTGGTGATGTCAGAACAAATAGATGGATTTTCATCTGTGATCAATAGAAGGTAACACTTACTGTTATATTTTACCTGTTTTACCTTATAATTGCCTGTTTCATTTATTGGCAGGGGCTTATTCCTATATATGAGGAGCTTTTGGAAGGGGCTGAGCATTGATTCTATCTTAAAACATTTATTCAACAACTTCAAAAATAAGTTTTGTAGAGGGACATTAATGAGAGAATTGATTATGGGTGTGTCTCTTTCCAACCGGTCACGCCACTATGGGACGTGTTTAACTGCTATATTTTCGTAATTAATTTCAAAACGAGTACTTATTCGTAATTTTTTATTAAAAAAATAATAAATTAATTTTTTTGTCCCGCAAAAGCTATATACTATGAGATTAAGGAAATAACGACAATTGATGACGAGGCATATGAGTGGCTGGCCAATGTCCCAAAAAAGGCACGGTGTAAGTATGCTTTTTTTTTTTTTTTTTATCCCAAGAGTGATGTGCTTATGAATAATTTAAGTGAGGCCTTTAACAGCACCAATTTACCAGCTAGGGACAAGCCAATAATAATTATGTTTGAACGGATTAGAACTCATGTTATATTCTTATCAGGGGTAGATTTGCCACCCTCAAGGAGAAGTTATCCAAACATGCTGGTAATGTGATGCCTAAACGTAGGAGAAGGCTTGACAAAGAGGTTGAGCGTAGTGGAAACTAATTTCCAACATGGACAGGGGAGTTACAGTTTGAAGTGACACATCGGCTGTATAGTAATAGATTTATTGTTAAACTAAATACTCATTCGTATTAATGTCGGGGTGGCACAATTGGTAAGCGAATTATGCCTAACGAGCGAATTATTGGGACTAAAAGGTCTTTGATATTCAATTTTTAGGTGAAGCAAGTGGCAAAAAAATTTATGCTTTATGCCGCGAAGGAGATTAGTCTTATAATTTATGACAAATACTCATTCGTATTCTTATAATTTATGGGAACTTGAGAGTATTCATACAAAACAGGATATTCTGAAAATTTTACTTTTATCTTGTATTACAAATTTTACTAAAATACTTGTATTGTTTTTTATGAATCCTAAAACAATGTCATTTTAATATTACCAGAAATAATTTTATCGTATGTTATGTGAGAAACATTAATCTATTTTTGTTATTTTCCCACTTTTGTGGTCTTCATTGCTTGTATTGATTTTACAAAGGAAAAAGAGATCCTGTTGGTACTAGAGGAACGGATGCAGCTGCTGGTCCTGAATATGGAAATGCAAGTTCAGACCCGAATTGTCATACTCATCCAACACTAGGAGACAAAATAAAGTGCAGTTTTTTAATGGTTAGTTTCATTATAATATTTTACTGTTTTCCTATTTTTAGTTCACTTCATTGATTGTATTGATTTTACAGAGGAAATGAGATCCTGCTGGCGCTAGAGAAACATATGCAGTTGCTGGTCTTGAATCTGGAAATGCAAGTTCATATCCAAATTCTCTTCAAAAGATTATAACTGACATCACATTTTATTTGAATTGATTTTTCTGTTGACTTTAAAAGTCCCACGTTGTGTCCTTTAAATATTCAGTAACTTGAAGGGAAATATGTTTATCAAGTTAAGACAATTTTATCTTATATGAAATACAAAAAGTGAGTCAGACCCATTTTTCTTCTACGACCTAGTTTATATTAGGTCAAGTTTGGCCTATTGAAAATAACTTATTTAGAAAACAAGTCATAGGCTTTTTTATACATGTCGAGCCTATAAGCCTACAGGTCGCCTTATATTATATTATTTATTTTAAATAAAATTATTGTTTTAATAATTTTAAATAACAAAATAATATTATTTTAATTATTCTTTTAATTGTTAAATGTTTAATAGGCTTAAACAGACTAACAGACCAAGACCAAAATTTTTATTTTTTAAATATAAGTCAGGTCAAACTTCTAATTTGGGGCCTACACAGGCCAGGTCATGCACAATATTTTTTACACAAACTT